TGAATCGGAAACAGGCTCCAGGCTCCGAGCCATCAGCCCAGAGCCCGATGCAGGGCTCGAACTCTCGGACCGCGAGATCGCGACCTGGCTGAAGTCGGATGCTTAACCGACTGTGCCACCCAGGCGCCCCTGTTTTGTTTTAAATTTAAATTTGCCAGCCTGCAAGGCTGGGAGTAAGGCCCACCTGGTACCCAGAGAGACCTACCCCATCCCAGAATTGGGCAGCCTCTGTGTGTGGCTCTACCTGTTCAGGGCTGGTCATGGCATGAAAACTGACCAAGAGAACCATTGAAGAAATAACTCTTTTCTCAAGCATCATTTTGCCAGAATTTTATATTGAAATCGTATGCCCTCTTTAGTCTTTTATTTCTCTTATCATTAAACCATTGAATTTAGTATGACATAAAATTTGTTTTAGCATTAGGATTTGGGAAGGCAATTATAACTATGTAAAAAATTAAACTATCTTAATTTTTCTTCTGGAAGGAATATAGGGTATAAATAAGTGTATCTATACAGGGGCACCTGAGTGGCTCAGTTGGTTAAACATCCGACTCTAGATTTTGCCTCAGGTCATGCTCACACAGTTCGTGAGTTCGAGTCCCACGTGGGGCTGTCAGTGCAGAGCCTGTTTAGGATTCTCACTCTCTGCTCTCTGCCCCCCACCCTCTGTCTCAAAATAAATAAATAAACTTTAAAAGAAAAGTATATCCATGTAGAGGCATATGCAACAGTTACGGGCAGGGGTTAGATCATTACCATCAAAGAAGTGTGTGCCCAGCCATGCCCAGCCTCTAGAAGCTCCATCCCAGGCCCTCCGGGAGGGGACAAACAGTATTTCCAGGGTGGAGGGTGGGGGGTGGGGGGTTGGGGGGGGTGCCTCCCAAGGAGCCCCATGGGCCCCGGGGGCTGGGCTGGGCTGCCCACCACTTGCCTGGCAGTGGCCGCCTCAAGTTAACTTCAGAGTGCAGATACAAGCCTGTGATGTTTTTGTCTGCCAGCCAGTTGCAGAAGGAAGAGGAGAAAGGAGGTGCTGAGCTAGAAGAACTGATGGAAAAGCTGGCCGTCCTGCAAATGCAGAAAAAGAGCCTGCTGTTAGAGAAGAACCGCCTGACAGCTGAAAACAAAGCACTGGGAGCTGAACTTGAAAGGGCACAGAAAATAAATAGGTTTTTATCTATCTTTTCTTCAGCCGGGTTTTTTATTTTTATTTTTTTTTTTGTATTTAAAAAGAGACAAATATTCCGTTTTATTTTCTTTGTCTAATACTGGCTAGGAAATGGAAAAGGATCATTGAGATTATTGGATATCAAAACAAAAGCCCAGTAAAGGCTTTGCTGTTGACCAGCATTAGCCAACATTTCTCAAGTCTATGGTTCAATTATAGTTGATAGTCATAATGATGACCCTAAGACTGAAAGTCCTGGAAGTTATTTCCTATGCATTTTGGGGTAACTGGATTCCTTTTTCAAAAGCATCTTTTAGAACATGGGCCAAAAAATTAAGAGAATAATACATAAGTAACCTATTAATTGTGTGAAGCATTTTTTGATTCTTGCTGACTTGGCCGGCAATCAGTAATTATGCTTCATTCAAAATTAAACTCGGTTACCTATTCTCACCCTGAAACTCAAAGGAAGATTTGGGTTGCCGAAGAATACATTTAAATGCTAATATACTTGCTGTGTTTACAATTCAGATAGTCTCTATGCCCTAGCCATGCAGGCTAATGAATTTTTTATTCCACCATTTGGGGGGACTCTCTAGGAGGTCTCAAAAGAAAATTGACGTCCTCAAAAAGCAGGTGGAAAAAGCCATGGAGAACGAAATGTCTGCTCACCAGTACCTGGCAAATCTTGTTGGCCTGGCAGAGAATATGACCCAGGAACGCGACAGTCTTATGTATTTGGTAAGCTCCCCCAGTTAACTTCGAGTCCACTGCAAGTTAATACGCAAACATAGTTTTAAGTGTGTTGTCTTTATAAAATTACCCGTAAAAACCTTCATCTTTTTACATTTTAACTGCACATTTTCAGATTCTCCAAAATTTTTGCTTCCAACCATGGGGGAAACACATTTTTGAAAGGCGGATAACCCACACTTTTAAATAATGGTAAATGATACTCTAGAAGATAAACTCAAAGAATTAGTTGATCCAGCCAAATAGAACAGGGTCGCCAGGCATTTATCACACATGCAGACGCATCTTCATATTCTCCCTGTAAGGCTGACTTAATGTGTTCCCTGTTTGAAGATGAAATATGAGCACCATGGACAGGGCAAATAGAGTCCATCCCTCGCTGCTCCTGGCGACCCTAGTCCCAAGGAAAGGACCGCGTGGGTTATCGGTGGTCCTAGATGGTGGAGCACTGCCCCGCCAGCCCGCGTGATGCCAAGGGCATGGTTCTTGGCATTTCCACATTAGTGTTAAAAGGTGTCAGCGGCAGACTGTGCAGTGAAAGGAGGCACGCTCTTTGCCAAGCTCCACGCAGTGAAAAAAGCCCAATAGCATTTACCACAAAATGGGACTTACGGAGCGGTGTCTCCAAGTGGTGAAATTACAGGCAATTAAGAAAAAAATCTAGGCCTGTTTGCATTTTATGATTTTTCAACTTTGAACACATGTTGCTTACATTCATTTAAACATGTTTGGGCCGCCTGGGTGGCTTGGTCGGTTAAGCAGCCAACTTTGGCTCAGGTCATGATCTCACGGTCCGTGAGTTCGAGCCCCGTGTCGGGCTCTGTGCTGACAGCTGGGAGCCTGGAGCCTGTCTCAGATTCTGTGTCTCCCTCTCTCTGACCCTCCCCCGTTCATGCTCTGTCTCTCTCTGTCTCAAAAATAAATAAACGTTAAAAAAAAATTTTTTTTTTAAATAAACATGTTTGTTTAAGCAGCGTTGCAAATCTCTGGTAGCATATGATTAGAAATAATAATTTAGTGCATGTCATGACAGAGGAAACTAGCAGATTTTCTGAGACATTTGGAAATTGGCAAACTTGGAATCACTCAACCCCTCTCCCAAGTGAATGGGGTGTGGAGAGTCTGTCAGGATGTGCCACAGGCTTATTCCCATTTGTTAGGAAGGTATCAAGTTCCTCCTTTGAGGGGGCGCCTGGGTGGCTCAGTCAGTTGAGCGTCCCTGGGATTGAGCCCCGCATCAGGCTCTGGACAGAGCGTGGAGCCTGCTTAAGATTCTCACTCTCTCCCTCTGCCCCTTTCCCCTCGCTCAGGATCTCTCTCTCTCTCTCTCTTTCTGTCTCTGTGTGTGTGTGTGTCTCTCTCTGTCTCTCCACAACAACAACAACAACAACAACAACAACAAAAGTTCTGGGTGCCTGGGTGGCTCAATCAATTAAGCTTCCAACTTCGGCTTAGGTCATGATCTCCCAGTTTGTGAGTTCAAGCCCCATGTCAGGCTCTGTGTTGACAGCTCAGAGCCTGGAGCCTGCTTCGGATTCTGTGTCTTCTCTCTCTGCCCCTCCCCCACTCACTCTGTCTGTCTCTCTCTCTCTGTGTCTCAAAAATAAATAAACATTAAAACAATTTTAAAGAAAAAATTCTCCATAGGATAATGAACATTAGGCTTTTAGCCATTGTTTATATAAGAGGAAATAGAAATATAAATAGCACACAGCTCTTGGGGGAAATGTGATCCTTATTTGTAATAAAAGAGATGCTAATTAAGCCAGTCTTGAGATCTCATTCTGCACTTATATTAACGTTACCAAAAAAGTTGCTTTCTTAATTACAATAGTTGCTGCTAGGAGTGGTAAGATTGATTACACATTAATGGTGATTTCTAAGCCCTTCCCAGGTCTTTTGGAAGCAATGTGACTCAGACACAGCATGGTAGACCCCTAAGCCTGTATGCCCCTGTCCCATCCGCCTCCTGAGAGGTCATCATCCTAACCCAAGTGCTGGGCTTGGGCATTTTCTGTAGTGGTGCTGAGCGCCCATTTCCCCCTTTGCCTTGCCTCTTGTGCTTCCCCACTGGAATAGCCAGAGCGCAAAGCAGAAGCTTGCTGAAAAACGGGGACCCCGCTGCCACGTGTCAGTACCACTGTAAAGGCGAAGTCCTCTTGTTTGCAGCGCAGGGCACGCAGGCTTCCCCAGGAGGCAGGCCCTGCACCTCCCGTGTGGGCCAGCGATCACCCCAGGTTTCTGTGATGAAGTTTAGATCCTCCCCGATCCTCACATGGTCCCTCTTAGGTCCTCCCTTCCTATTTGTGGGCCCAGGATGGGAATCGAAACGGAAGCCATATGCTATTTGTCCAAATACTTGGAAGTTACAAGCCAACAATCTGTAAATGAAACGTGTTCTCTCCCCCTGCCTTGAACTTTGTTATTATGGCCTGAACGCCAGGCTCAGGTTTAGAATCCTTAGATCCCTCGGATGTGGGGGAGCTGCTTTCAGCCCTCCCCAGCTGTGCCCACCGCAAGAGACATCTGTGTACCTACAGACACTGTTGTCCCCCTGGCCCTGCAAGCGCCTTGTGCCTGGGAGCCCCGAGACCAGCGGGGTTCGGGGTGCTGCTTGCTGCCTCTGCCCTGTCCTGGGACTGTGGGCCAAGTATCCCAACCTTACCCTGTCCTGGTCTCCTAGGCCTTAATTTATTGAGAATGGCATCTTAATTTCTTCTTTTAGTTTTTATTTTTGTTTTTTATTTTTGAGAGAGACACAGAGTATGTGCGTGCAGGTCCGCTCATGCGGGGGGCAGGGGGGTGGAGGCAGAGGGAGAAGGAGAGAGGGAATCTTAAGCAGGCTCCATGCCCAGCTGGGGGCTCAACTCCACGACTGTGAGATCACGACCTGAGCCGAAATCGAGAGTCAGACACTTAACCGACTGAACCACCAAGGGGCCCCAAAAGGGGCACCTTAATTTGCAATCCCACATTTAGGATGAGTTTTCCACGTAACTTATGGCAAAGTTATTTAATGTTCTGTGTCTTATTTTTCATTTCTGAAGGAAATCAAATGAAATCAAATTGTGCTCATCTTTGCTTTTTTATTTTAGCATTTGAAATAATTTATAGTGTGTAGCAATTCATGTCCCATATGGATATTAATCTAAAGCACTCTGCTGCAAATGACATTCCTCTAAGATATAAAGCTGTCACATTTGGTTTGGTGAGTGGCATTGTGCATTCATGTTTATCCTTAATTTTGTAATTATTCAAATAGTCAAGGTAAAAGTATATTTGCATCTCGGCACTTATTCTTTGGGTCTGATTGAAGGAATGATATATCCCGCAAGAATAGAGATGTGTGCTGAAAAACCCTTCCAACCTCTCACATTCCCCTGGTTTGAGGGGCTCGATCTTCCATTGGTGTCCAGGAGGGGCGCCCAGCCTGCTGTTCTGGGTTCTTGCCCCTCCTCAGCTGTTGGCCCAAGTTCTGCCCACAGCCTTCAAACGGGGTGGAGGTTGGGGGCCAGACAGGTGCTGGGCCAGGACAAGTGGCAGAACGGAGATTACTTGTAAGTAGCAAGATTCTTCGCAGAAGAATTATTAATTTAATTTTTCTGTTCAACTAAGAGCCCATTATTTTTCTTTTTACTTCGCTCTTTAGGCTAAATGTTTAGAAAGTGAAAAGGATGGAGTTCTCAACAAAATCATAGAAGGCAACATTCGCTTGGGAAAGTTAGAGGAAAAAATCAAGGTAAGTGGCCATTTAACCTCAGAAGTTCCATTTCAAATGGAAACAGTGGCTTACTGGGGTCAGATTTCTGTGTTTAAAAAATTGGTTCATTTTGCATGTATGTATCTCCAGTCATCTACAAAATAAAGCAGTACTGGGTTTTAGGAGCAGAAACCACTCATTAATCCACTCATCAATCCACTCATTAAATAAACCGGTTTATCTGCACAATAAGATGTCATGCAGCTATTGTTTTGTTTTGTGTTTTGTTTTGTTTTATTTTGTTTTAAGATATGGAAAAATCTCCAGGCTCTATCCTGAGCTTAATGTGCAGGCTTTATTCTCAAGGCCAGCATTTATTGGTTCAGTTAGAGATCAGGGTTGACCTATTCCTCTCTTGCTCAGTCCTAATTGCACCCTCTGGTTTCTCTGCCCAAGAAAGTCATTGTCACTGCACCAACTCTCCCCTGCCAGGCCACCTCCCTCACCTGACCTCTGTTCTCCCTGCCATCTGTGTTCTTACTGCCGGCCTCTGCATCTGCATCCACAGCGTTAGCGTTACCAGCCAAACCGTTTTCTCTGGAGTGGGAGCAGGGGTGTGGGCAGGGGCAGGGAGAGGATAGGCAGGCTAGAGGCCTTGGTGCAAGGCAGGGAGCCTGTGGGTTTTGAAGGGGAGGGTAGCTCCACGTGTGGGTAATTAGATCTAGGACTTCTGTAGGAGGACGATTTAAGGGCCTGATACGAGGAGAAATAGACTGATGACATTTACTATGTGGGGAAACTCACAAACTAAGACAAATGAAACATTGGCTAGCTCTGTGTAAATAAGTGTAGTGCTGGGTGAACAGCATGTGTACCTATATGTATGTGTATACACATATATACGTATGTATACACAAAATTTATAGATAAATAAATTTTAACTTATAATTACTCAGGCCCAAATGTATGTCCTAATGCAAAAAATAGACTTTTTTTCCCTATGTTTTATGAATATTGCTTAAATAACAAATATTAAGTTTTTGGAAGCCGCATGGCCTGACCATCTTGATTTTCAAGTGGTACAGACAGAGGTGCTGCCTGAGGGCCTTTCTGGCTTCCAGTAGGGTCTGCCACATGAAGTGTCTCTGAGCTACCCTGATCTGGGTTCTGGGCCTTCCCCAGGCGAGATCACCTCCATGTAACTAAATTCAGAGAAGACTAGCCTACCCGCCAGCACATCGCTGTTCTCTTTTATAACAGGCAGTGGCCTTTGTGGTGAGGGACGCTCCCGCTGCGGGTCGGGGGCTCATCCCCTCTGTGGGCCACAGCAGCTCTGCTCCTGTTCCCAAATGTTCCCAAAGTGACAATGACTTTCGGGCATGGTGCTACTTGAAGAAAGGGTTCCTTTGCTGCAAGCAAAGTTGAAAATGCCTGTCATGAGTCCTCCAACCAGATCTCAGGGGAGCTTATCCTGTGGTGTCCAATGGTAGGAGTGATTTAATTTAACCAGATAGCTTTTGGAGTTGTGTGGACTTCTAAAATGTCATCAGAGATTCTGAACAGATAACTTAGTTTTCTAGGAATTTTATTCCTGACACAGTTTTAAAGTAAATGAGGATATGGCAAGTTTAATCTTCAAGTACACATATTTGTCATAACCTAACTACGAGGCAGGATAAAGAAAAAGAAACGCGTATCTAGATACACTATAGTGAGACTGCAGAACACCAAAGACAAAGATAAAATCTTAAAAGTGGGGCACCTGGGTGGCTCAGTCAGTTAGTGTCCGACGCTTGATTTCAGCTGAGGTCATGATCCCAGGGTCATAAGATCAAGCCCCAGATCGGGCTCCCCATGGACAGCATGGAGCCTATTTTGGATTCTCTCTCTCCCTCTCTCTGTGCCCCTTTCCCACTCATGCACATGTGCACTCTCTCTCTCTCTCAAAATAAATAAATAAACATTGTTTTTAGTTATTAAAAAAAATCTTAAAAGTGGCCAACGAGAATGTGTTTTTACCGATTTGGTACCTACAAGGTCAAAAATTAAGAAATTTGACGATACAGTGGTGCCTGGGTGGCTCAGTCAATTAAGTGTCCGACTTGGGCTCAGGTCATGATCTCACGGTTCATGAGTTCAAGCCCCACAATGGGCTGTGTGCTGACAGCTAGGAGCCTGGAGCTGCTACAGATTCTGTGTCTCCCTCTCTCTGCCCCTCCCCCACTCATGCTCTGTCTCTCTCTCCTTCAAAAATAAATAAGCAGTAAAAAAAATAAAAAAAAAAAAGATATTTGTCAATACAGAGCATTTGGCAATGACGTGAAGCAGTGGGAACTTTTCTACATTGTTGCTGGGGCTGGAAATTGGTTCAGACCGTGAGTAAAGCTCACCACCCAGTCGTCCCTCCCTTCTCCTTTCCAGATAGGGGGACTCTCACATGTGTGCACCAGAAATCACGTAAGGCGACGGTCTCAACAGCATTATTCATATTGTCCCAAACAAAACAACCTCATACTCATCAGCAGAACAGATAAATAAATTGTGATGTATTCACAAAGGAATACCTAATACCAATGAAAATGAATAAATTATATTTACGGTATTGTGGGTGAATCTCGCAAGCACAATATTGAGTGAAAGGAACACAACGGAAATGAGAACCTACAATATGTTTGCATTTATATAAAGTTTAAAGTAGGCAAAATTAAAGGGTTTGGGGCATACTTAGATTATAAAACTAAAAATGAAAGATAAGAAAAGGATTTTAGCAAAAATGAAATTAATGATTATAGTCGACCCTTGAATAATGCAGGAGGGTTGGGGCACCAACTCCCACGCAGTCAAAAATCCATGTGTAATTTCTGATTCCCCCAAAATGTGACTACTAATGGCCTACTCTTGACCACAGGCCTTACAAATAGCATAAACAGTCAATTAACACATATTTTCTATGTTGTATGTGTTATATACTGCATTTTTACAATAAAGTAAGCTACAGAAAAGAAAATGTTATTAGGAAAAATGTAAGAGAAAATACACTTATAGTACCGTACCGTATTTATCCAAAAAATCTGCATATAAATGGACCCATGCAATCCACGCTCCTGTTGCTCAGGGGTCAACTGTATGCCTGAAGGGTTGGGATTCTTGGGGACTTGCAGGCTACTGCTAATATTCTATCTATTAACTTAGATGATAGTTCCATGGTGTTTGCTTTGTTATTAAATTACTCATATATGCTTCCTAAGCTTCCCTGCAAATGTATACGTGTCACCATGTCAATGAGGCACACCTTGACCATTACAGTTGCTGTCCAACCATTCTTCCACACCCTTCATTCTCACTACCTTGCTTTAATGTTTCTTCCATAGACAGCATCACCTTCCAACAGGTACATAACCTATTTATTGTGTTTACTGGCAATTATCTGTCCTTCTGACCAGACTATAAATTCCACAGGGGCAGGGATTTTTTTCTGTTTTTGTTCACTGGTATATCCCAGGCCCCTGAAATAGCATCTGACACGCAGTATTCAATAAATTCAATAACCTTTTGGAGAATTAATTAAATAATATATTTTACAATTTTAAAAATTCAACAAAAAATATACACAACAGTATTTCAACTCCCAGAAAGGCTAGAAGGACTATACCATACCATTAATGATAGGAATCTAAATAGAAATATTTTGAATAATAATGAGCAATCGTGGGTTTTTGTGGGGTTTTCTGGCTTTCCTGTTAGCTTTTGTTTCCAAAAGAGAAGGTCTGATTGTCAGTGTGGTTGGCCTTGCGTTGGAATGTATCTCAGTACTGTTCATCTAAATAAGATAGTAAAAAGGGTCTACTCAGCCACCCAGAGAGGCACCTGAGAGCTGGATCCAGGTTAGACAGGGCAGATCTCTGGGGAAGTGGAGAGAAGAAACCTAGAAAAGGTCGAGAAAATTTGAGGATGACATCTCAGGAAACCCCAGCAAAATAGGACTCCCAGAAGTGAGGACGGCACCCTGGAGGTCAGGGCTGTGTTGAGATCTGGGAAGCCAGAGCCACAGGCAGAAGCCCTTCCGAGCCAGGCTAGATTCAGAGGACCTGAGAGGGGGGCCACAAGAGAGACAGCATGAAAAGCCTGGAAGTTGACCCAACCAGTCATGCTCCTAGGAACCTCAGTTCAGAGGAATTCAGGGATCTCCAGAGGTAAAATAAGAAAAAGGAAGAAAAACAGAAGTATAATTGTCCTGCACATGATGAAAATGCATCAGAAATAATGTTGCCACACTCAGGTCATGATCTCATTGTTCATGGGTTCGAGCCCCACATCTGGCTCTGTGCTGACAGCTCAGAGCCTGGAGCCTGCTTTGGATTCTGTGTCTCCCTCTCTCTCTGTCCCTCACTTGCTCTCTCTCTCTCTCTCTCTCTCTCTCTCAAAAATAAATAAACATTAAAAAAATTTTTTTTCAAGAAATAATGTTGCCACAAAGATCAAAATTATCAACTATATTCGACAGGGAATTGATAGGCAGGTAGGTAGATAAGTAAGGAGGTAGCTAGGTGGCTAGAAAGCTAAAACTTAATAAAGCCATCAGAGCTAGGAGGAAATCCTACAAAGCAGAAACAGACAACCAGATGGAGGAGGATGGGAACTGAAACTGACACAACTCTGAGACGACATCGAAGGAAGGGAGCATCCGTTTCAGAAACGTAGACTGAATTACAGGGAGCATGAAGAGAAACCTATCCTAAAAGCACAACAGGGACATAAAGAATAGAAATGAGAAAGGTAAAGACAGAAAGGCAGAAATAAAGATGTGAAAAGAATCCAGTAGAGGAAAAAAAAAAAAAAAAAAAAAAAAAAAAAAAAAAAAAAACCAGTGGAGAGGGATAAGAGAGCCAATGTGCCTGTTGTTAACAGCCCCCAAAGAAGAAATCAAAACAACTCAGAACCATAATTCATAAAAGCTTTTCTGAAATAAACGAAGACATGAATCTACACATTGAAAGGACTTTACGATAAAGAAAGAATACCTTGGACATGCAGGCAAAAAAAACGAGAAATAAGAAAAAGAAAACCATGTTGGCATCACACTTCTCAGCAGCAGCACTGAATGCCAGAGAGCGGTGCAATGCCTTCTATAAATATTCGAGGAAACAGTATGAGCCAAGGATGTTTCCATCCAATCACACTACTCATCAGACAGTTTTGACAGTGTGAGAACTCTGGGCACATCTTCCCATAAATCTTCCTCAAAGATCAATCAGCTTGAGTTCAGCCAGTCAAGAAACGGTTGGTCAGGGGCACCTGGGTGGCTCATTCGGTTAAGCGTCCGACTCTCGATTTCAGTTCAGGTCACAGTCTCATGCTTCATGAGATTGAGCCCCTCATCGGGCTCTGCGCTGACATCTTGGAGCCTGCTTGGGATTCTCTCTCTTCCTCTCTCTCTGCCCCTCCCCTGCTCACACTTTCTATCTCTAGCCCCTGCCCTGCTTGTGCTCTCTCTCTCAAAAATAAAACATTAAAAAAAAAAAAAAAAAAAAAAAAAAAAAAAGAAAAGAAACAATTGGGCAAATTTCAGAAAAGTAGTGGCAATGAGCAAAAGATACAATTAACTGTGAACTAAGACTTCGGCGAATCAGGGATAAGGCTGATGGAATAGAACGTAAACGTTTTTTGACAATGTGGAAATAATACAATCAAGGGAAAACGGATAGGTTCAGGAGGTAGGAAAGTAGAAAGTAGGACAAGCTAGCTGATTGTTCATATTTCATAACTAAGAGTTCAAAGGATATCATTTCAAGCTGAAAAATCAAGTGGGAGGAGCTTGAGCATATTTAAGTAGGGGAAGAAAAGGTTGTGAGCTAACTTTTGCTAAATGAGAGGAGTAAGGACATACAATATAAAGGCATGAGAATAAAAGTTACCACAAGAATCCCAAGAGATTCATTCCTAAATAGTAGTATTACAACAGTAAAAAGAACAGAGAAAACAGGACTACATTAAAGTCTTTAAAGATGTATGTAGATAAAACAAGCAAAATAACAAGATTGGGACCAAACAAATGCAAATAAGTGTAAGTGAGTTTATTTCACCCATTAAAAGAAAACAGTTGTGTAGATTGGATTATGAAGCAAACAGTATCCCACGATAGAGCCAAGAGACCGTCTGAAACAAAGCGTATCAGAAGGGTTATGAATAAAAGGATGAGTAAAGATAATCCAGATTTCTGCAAACAAAAAGAAAGAGAAGGTACAATCTTTAAATGTGCCAAGATAGAGTTCAGGCTAAAAGCACTAAGTGAGACAAAAAAAAAAAAAAAAAAAAAAAAAAAAAAAAAAAAAAAAAAAAGGAGGGGCATTTATAATGTTAAAAGACTACAGTTAATAATACATTGTAGCCACAAATACCTACGTGCTAAGTAACACAGCAGCAAATCTATACAGTATAAACCACAGGACATACAAAGGGAAATGGAAACTTAGAAATAATAGGAGCTTTAATCTTCTCTTGGTCCAAGACAGATCAAGAGATTAAACAAAAGTAACTAAGGGTATAGAAGATTTAACAATGTAATCTATAAAGTTTATTTATATACTGATACACACAGAATAATTGATTGATTGTAGATTGGCTACAAAAAGAATCAACCCCTAGAGTAGAAATAGGCACGTTTGTTGAACAAAAAGATGAAAACCAGAGATTAATAATCAGAAAGCAGAAAATAATCTTTCACCTGGAAATTTGAAAACTGTGAGGTAAACCAATTCTTGGGTCAGAGGGAATATATAAACTGTCCATCTCTAAACAGCACTGAATCTGTGTGAACTACAAATTGGAATCTATGTGACAACAGTCTTAGAAATGCTCAGAGGGAAGTCGTAACCTTAAATACTATACAATAAAAAAGTAAAAGGAAAACAAATGAGTCAGGCTTTTACGTCTGTCATCTGTTTACCGATAGAGTGCACAGACCTTGCCAGGTTGGTCTGTTTTTATTTGTTGCATATAAAAACTAGGCATGATGCAAACTAGAAATTTGGTATTATTATACGTGACATTCTTTTTTTTTCCCCCTGTATGGACTTTTATGATCCTTGCCCTCCCAGATCGGGCTTACCGAAGGTTTACTCATTATCTCAGTGGGCGCTGATGGCCCAAATGGGTAGGGTATACATCTGGGAAGCCACCCCGTGGGCCACAGGCAGCGTCCCTTCGCTCACAGAGTGCTTCCTCCTCCCCCAGGGGTACAAGAAGCAGGCAGCACTGAAAGTGGGCGACATCAGTCACCGTCTGACAGAGCAACAGGAAGACTTTGCTAGCAAAACCGCTCAGTACCAGCAAGAGATGAGACACCTCCATCAGATGCTGCGGGACAAGCAGGGTATCCTGGACCAGGCACTGCAGCAGAAAAGGTAGGGCCGCTCCAGCCCCGTCTACTATGGTTAGTTTTGAATGTTTGCTAGGATTTTCTAGTAAAACCCTCTGGACGTGTTCTGTTTATTTTTTACAGTTTAGTTTTGTCCGAATGTAATATTGGTCTTGATTTTTGTTTGCTGGTTAGCTAACACATCCCTTGCCTCACCTAGTTCCCATTTTGCTGTGGTGCTGGTGGCGGTGGTGGTTATGGTGGGAACACTGAAGATCCAGTCCCGCAGCAGCCTCTCAAGTCTGCGACACGGTGTCGTTAACTACAGTCGCTGTGCTGTGCGCCACATCCCAGCTCTTCATTTTCTCTAATCCCCCCCCTCTTCAGAACTCCCCATTGTTTGAATATTGGACTTCTTAAATCAACCCAGGCCTCTAATTGTCCTCTCCTCTTGTCCCTCTCTTTGATACTTTTGTTATATTTCATTTTCTTGGGAGATTTTACTTTTGATTAAATGTCTTATTTCTGCTTTTTCTTTCATTTCTGAGGATTTTTTTTAAGTTATTTTTTTAAGTAATCTCAACGTAGGACTTGAACACAGGACCCTGCGATGAAGAGTCTCATGCTCCTCCAACTGAGCCCGCCAGGTGCCTGCCCCTCATTTCTGAGAATTTTAAAATCTCTAATCATTCCCTTTTTGTAAGAGCATAATCATAAGATTATGGGTATATTATGTTCTCTGCATTCTCTGTTACACTTCCTCCTTTAAACATATGATAGAGGAAGTGTTGCCAGTATATTAAAACCACTGGGGAACGTTGCATACTCTGTGAAGTTCATGTGCTTAGAATTGCATTAATAGAGGCACCTGGGTGGCTCAGTTGAACACCCACTTCGGCTTAGGTCATGATCTCACGGTTCGTGAGTTCAAACCCCACATCGGGCTTTGTGCTGACAGCTCAGAGCCTGGAGCCTGCTTCTGATCCTGTGTCTTCCTCTTTCTCTGCCCCTCCCGCATTCATGCTCTGTCTCTCTCAAAAATAAAATAATTTTAAAGAAAGAAACACATTAATAAAATGGAATTTTGTTTTTTGCTCTCTCCCTTATTCCATTATCTGTCCTTAAATGGTTTGAAAGTTATGCATTCTGTACTTTCAGTGGTTACCCTTAAAATTTGACCATGGTTATTTAACATTAAAAAAAATCTAAATTTAACTGGGGCACCTGGGTGGCTCAGTCAGTTGAGTGTCCAGCTCTTGGTTTCGGCTCAGGTCTTGATCTCACAGTTCATGAGTTTCAGCCCTGCATCAGGCTCCACACTGATTGGGATTCTCTCTCTCTCTTCACCTCCCTGTGCTTTCTCTCTCTCTCTGCCTCTCTCTCAAAATAAATAAACTTTAAGAAAAGAAATCTAAATTTAATATCCCTGTATTTCCTCCCCCAGAGCAAGACCTAATGCTCTTATCTAATTATTTTCCCCCCTCAGTTTATATGCTGATGTCGTCCAGTGTCATTTGGGAGATGAAAGTGAAAAACAAAGATCTATCTTCTATGGTTATCTTTAGGTCCCCAGTTAAATGTTGCTAGTTTCTTTATAGTTCTTTATTTTGATTTACCCAGAAGTACCATTCCTTTACTTACTGATTATTATAAATAAGGTGTCAGGCCCAAAATGGGCCTCACTTATGCTAGTCCCACATCACCAGACCAAGACTTGACCTAATCAGTTTTGGCTCTACCAGAAAGGGAATCTTAAACGAATCAATACGGAATTGCCTGGTCAGCCCTAGTTAGGTCATATGCCTGGGAGACCCTGCCATCCCCTAAAGAAAAGTTAGTTTGCAATAACCAACTCACTTTTGCCTAGTAGAACTTCCTTGTTCCTGCTCCCCTCTGCCTGTAAAAAGTCTTTCATTTTGTATAGCTCTTCAGAGCTCCTTTCTCTCTGCCAGGTGAGATGCTGCCCAATTTAATTTTTGCTCAGATAAACTCAAAATTTTCATACTTCCTCAGTTTATCTTTTAACATATTGTCTCTTGCATCACCGACCTTATTTCTCAGATTAGTTTCCTTCTTTGTAAAATGCATCATTTGGAAGTTTCTTTAGGGGCGCCTGGGTGGCTCAGTCGGTTGAGCGTCTGACTTCGGCTCAGGTCATGATCTCACAGTTTGTGAGTTCGAGCCCCGCGTCGGGCTCTGTGCTGACAGCTTGGAGCCTGGAACCTGCTTCGGATTCTGTGTCTCCCTCTCTCTCTGCTCCTCCCCCGCTCATGCTCTCTCTCTCTCTCTCTCTCTTTCCTTCAAAAATAAATTTAAATAAATAAATAAATAAGTTTCTTTAGTAAGAGTCTGTTGGGAGTAAGTTTTCTTAGTTTCTGTTTCCCTGCAAATGTCTGCATTTTTGTAAGGTAATTTTTGCTAACTACAGGATTTTACTTTGACAGTCTTTTTATCTCAGCATATTCCATTATCTTCTCTGTTTGAGAAGTCTGTTTTGACGAGTCAAAAGACAAGTCTCTGGTAAGCCTCTGTCATTTTTAAAAATAATTGATCACCTTTTCTCTTAATTCTTAAGATCTCCTCTGTCTCTTGTATTCTGCAGTTTCATTGTTATGTGTTTAACTGTAAGGTTCTTTTTTATTTATCTACTTGATAAAAATTATTCTCCATATCTGTGATTTTGTGTCTTTCTTTAGTCTAGAAAGTTATCATCTCTTAAAATAAGCCATTATCTTAAAATAAATCGTTTCCTCTTATTCTTTCTAAGTGTCCTTCTGGAACTCAGATTAAATAAATGTATGTTAGATCTTCTTACTCAATCCTCCACTTGCCTTATGTTTTAAATTTTCCATCTCCTTGTTTTCCTGGTCTACATTCTGGGTAATTTCTTCTGCTCAATATTTCTGGTTACTAATTCTCTCTACAGCTGTGTACTGTCTCACACGACCAATGAGGTGTTTTTTTTGTTGTTGTTTTTTTGTTTTTTTATCTCAACAACGGTATATTTTGTCTTCAATTCTATTTGGTTTTTTTTGAAAATCTGCCTAGTCATTTTTTTTTTTTTTCAACGTTTATTTTTTTTGGAACAGAGAGAGACAGAGCATGAACGGGGGAGGGGCAAAGAGAGAGGGAGACACAGAATCGGAAACAGGCTCCAAGCTCTGAGCCATCAGCCCAGAGCCTGACGCGGGGCTCGAACTCACGGACCGCGAGATCGTGACCTGGCTGAAGTCGGACGCTTAACCGACTGCGCCACCCAGGCGCCCCTGCCTAGTCATTTTTAAAATAAATTCTTGGTCTTTGCTTATTTCAAGTACATCTCTTATTTCTTTTTTAACATTTCATTCATAGTTATTTTTTCAATATCTGAAATTTGGCAGAATTTAAATTTGTTTTTGGGGTACTTGGGTGGCTCAGTTGAGCAATCGACTTCAGCTCAGGTCATGATCTCACGGTTTGTGGGTTTGAGCCCCACATTGGGCTTGCTGCTGTCAGCACGGAGTCCACTTCGGATCCTCTCTCTTGCTCTCTCTTCCCCTCCCCCACTCACACACGTTCTCTCTCTCAATAAATAAAAACATTAAAAAAAAATTTTTTTAATCTTACCCTATGTGGCTTCTTTCTTTTTAGAATAACTTTTTAACTATGAACTCATATATACTTGAATTTAATCTGTAGAATCCTGAGGTTCAGGATTAAGGATGTTTCTCGCCAGAGAAGACTTGTATTTGCTTCTCTTTGGTGCTAGAAAATATTTCCAAACCTGGAGCCACTTTAATTTTATTATTAATTTTTAAAATAGGCTATAGTATAGTAATGCTTTTAAAAACATACAAAAAGACTTTTAAAGTATCCACAATGCTATTATTACATTTATAAGGTATAACTTCTTAATATCATATTTTTCTGAACTGCATTTGGGGTGATTTCCTCTGCTTAATATTACAGTTTACTAATTCTCTCTTCAGCTGTGTCCAGTGTACTGTTTAACCCATCCACTGAGCTTTTTTTTCTAATTGTTCCAAAAATGGCTTTTCATTCTTGGTTCCCTCCACACAGGTCCTGGGGATGCCCAATCATGGGGAACAATGTAGATTCAAGCTCCCGATCCACCTGAGAACAAGCCAGTGGCTCCAGCCCTGTAGGAGACATTTAGTCTCTCAGAGCAGGTTTCTCTGGAAGATGAGCAGATTTTCTGCCCAGCCATGCTTGCTTTGAGGGTCCTTCATGTGCTTCCACTTACCTGCCCAACTGTGGAACACTTAGTTCAGAGTGTTTCTAGGAAGAAGAAGAGAACTGTGGATATGAGCAAGCCCTGGGGTTTTCTGTCATACCTGGTTTGCATGGGCCCAGCACCTAGTCTCTATTCTACAAAAATATGGGTTTCTGGCATGGGCTTTTGTCCTCAGAGCAATACCAACATTCTATTGCCTGCCCCTGTGCCTTCAGTTTAGTCTTTATTTTTTCCTGCCCTTAGAGAGTTCCTATTTATTTATGCATTCATTCATTCATTCATTCATTCATTCATTCATTCATTTATCTATTCATTTATCCATTTATTTATTCATTTATTCGTTCATTCATTTATTCATTTATTTATTCATCTATTCATTCATCATTCATTCATTCATTCATTCATTCATTCTCTTTTGTTTTGTTTTGTTTTTTTAGCGAGCCAGGCAGAGCGAGACAGGCCTTGATCCCAAGCCCTCACCATCCCATGAGATCATGACCTGAACTGAAGTTGGATGCTCAACTGACTGAGCCACCCAGGAGCCCCCAGAAAACAGAAATAATTAAATAGTGTTCAACATTCAGTGAGCATAAGCGGCCTTGGAAGGAAGCAACAGTTAACAAGAGAAGTGACACTGGACAAGTGGGCATGTCACTGGCCTCCCTCAACCTCACTGGCCTCCTTCTTAAACAGCAGTGCTCAGCCCATTTGGTAGTCCAGTTTCTAGCATCTTCCACAACCACCTGGCTATGTCTGTGAAGGAGCTGGCTTCCGCACCCTGCCCTCCTGCATGAGGCCTGCTCCTTCTTCCAGGCTGAGGCCAGTCTTTCTATCTCCCTGAATCCCCCATGGCGTCCACCGTCCTGTGAGGTGGTAGCTGGTACCCTGTCCTCCAGTGGACGTTGGCCCTGTGAGGACATATATACCTTGCAGGCCCTGTTTCCTCAGCATTCCACATGGTTCCTGTCACAGAGTCCCTGGTACCCTTTCCTTTCCTCACACGTCTTGGTTCCCTCTGGGCGCTCACTCCTGGCACGTGGTCTATTGAGGCCATTCTTCTCTGTGTCCTCGGTTATAAGCCCCACTCCCTGCGGTCCCCTCCTCACCCCCAGACTAACTCTTTATGTCCGGGCCCATCGTTGGCTCTGCGGACGGTGCTATGAGAGGTTCCTGAGTGTTGGCCAGGTCACAGTGGGGACAGGTAGAGGGTGCACAGGAGAGGCGTGCAGGGTTCATGCTGTGTGGGTGCCCACAGCCAGGCCACTGTGCCATAGGTCAGCCACTGCAGTCACTGTATTTTATTCTTATACCTGTTAATTCTATAGAGAACAAAGGTCCAAAATAAAGGAAAAGGCAAAACGTAGAGAGGAAAGGTAAAAAGTCATGTTTAGCCTGTGGCTTGTATTTTTTCTATTTCCAGGGGGTCTCAGTGCTTCGTTCAACTCCGGGAGTCTTTGCCTGGGAACCCAAGCACAATGGGACCTGTTCTCTGACGTTAAGCATTCTTCCCTTTGAGTTCTTACTACTTTAGGAGTCATAAGGGCTCTGTAGATAATTTTCTCCTTGTGCTATTTTGTGTGTATTTCTCACAGAGAAATGGAAGGCAAGCTTGAGGTTGTCTGGGAGTCTACCTCTAAGGAAAACCGAAGAATCCGAGAGCTTCTGCAGGCCACGCTGGAGACGACCGGCACGTGGGATGGCACTGGGGAGGCGTGCTGGACGGCTGAGGCTCCAGCTACCGTGACATGAAGCCACCTCCCACCACCTGCCACAGCCTGGGCCGTGACCAGGACCGCTCGGCCCTGGAGCGCTGCCTTTCCCCGGACCAGAGACACAGGACAAGGGCAGGCACCCGCCTCGCACCACAGCGTTTCTCCTCCTCGGGGCGAGGTAGAAACAAACTGTCTCAGACATTTACTCCATTTTTTACACGTTGCTTTATGTAAACAATACAATGCTAAACTTGATTTTTGCCAGTACGTGTCCCCTGGCTGCGTCTGTGAGACCCGCCACTCAGGGTGACAGCTGACCTGATGCTCTGGCCTGGCTCTGGGCTCCTAGGCCTATAGCCGGGGGGAGTACTCGGGCTGTGTGCTCCATAGGAGGCGAGTGGCATGAGCCCAGTGATGGTACCGTGCCCTGTGTTAGCGTTTTGTAAATGAGCGCTCGCACTCCAGCCGCAGGAGGTTCCACAGAGTCTGTTCTGCCCCTTCCCCTACCTTTCCTTATCCTCTTGGGAAGGCAGTTTGCTGGGGCCGCCTGGCACCAGGGTAGGGCCCCTGCCCCACGCCACCACCGAGAAGGGTGCCGGGGGCCCGGGTTCACTTCTCTGTGCCACCCCCAGTCATCCCAGCCCCTCAGGACCGTCCCCTGGCACTTCCTGGTGGCAGTGCCAGCCACCTCGGGCTGCTTGTCCCTGGCATGCCAGGAAAATGAGGGACAGTGGGCTGCACAGGACCCTGAAGAGCAGTATGGAGGGTAGAATCCTAGAACCCTCGCGGCTCGGGCATGCACACCGGCCAGCGCCAGCCCTCGATCAGGTGGAGAAGTTGATTGCTGCTTGGGAAGCTGAGACAGAAGGTCACAGTTGCCTTACATTTTGTTCAGTTTGTTCAACAGTTAAACAATGCCAGTTTATTTTCATTTTACCAGGGGTAGGGAGACTCCCCAGGGTTTAAAACTACGTATCATTGCCCTCCGCGATGTTATTTCAAAAGAATCCACCAGCTCTCTGGAGATCCATAGACAGGCTGAGAGGCGGCAGTCTCTCGCCTTTCGGACCTAGGCTTGCAGGGTGGCTCGTCGTGGGAACACTGCAGTTTGTCACACACGTAGAGAACCGCTTTTGTCATTCCTGTCCTTTTCCCGCCTTCTGTGAGAGCATTTTGTTCCCTGGGGAAGTGAACGTTTGTACATCTCAGCTTTAAGTTTGTTACACTTACATACTTTGTTTGTTACAGAACATACTTTGCAACTTTGGTGGCCCCTGGACCTTGTCGTGGCCAGGCAGGGGTGGGGTCGTGCAGCTCTTGGGCCTCCCGCCGGGGGCTGTCCAGGGTGCAAAGGAGGGCAGGACAGGCGGAGCGGCGACAGAGAAGCCCAGAGACTGAACCCAGGCCTGTGTGGAGGAGCTGGAATGCCCTGGGCCTTGCCAGATGGCCAGGGCTCCAGAAGCTGGAGGAGTCCCAGGAGGGGTGTTTGGGCAGAGGCGAAGACCCGGGACAGCAGGAGGTCGGGGTGGGCAGGGAGGCCAGACTGCTGGGAGGGATGACTGCTTCATCCTGCGGTTTCCTGTCAGAGCAGGAGCCGGTGCTGTTCTTCCTGGTCCTGGGGAGTCCGCATATGGCTCTAGAATGATCCTGAGCAGGCAAACAGTTATAAAACATGCCCCAGGAGCTCAGTGAGCCCTGTTGCCTTTGGTTTTGGCAAAAAGCAGGGGAATTCAGCGTCGAATGGAGAGGGCCCGGGGCACAGCCAGGACGTGGGTGTGAGTTTGGGGTGAGAACAGGTGACGAGCTGCCCTCAGCTTTCCGGTCGATCTGCGCAGAGGGCACGGGGGTCGGAAGTGGCTCCAAGAAGAGTGGGAGAGCCCGTCCTTTCCCGGCAGCTTCTCTGTGGAGATCAGTGTGTCCTCCAACTCGGGGGAGGGCAGAAAATCCTGAATTGTCTTTCTTTCAATGCACTTTATTTATTCAGCAAATACACATGGAGTGCTTATCTCTGTGCCCCGTGTCGAGTACAAAGGCAAACAATTCCAGACCATGCTGGGTGCTTGGGCGAAAACAGGACAGAAACAATGAGCCCATAACCTTAATGGCTGCTGTGGGAGCTGCTGGCTGAACGCTGGGCAGGACATTCCGAAACCTCATCGTACAGAGGCATGGTCATGATCTTACCCTCCAAAACAAAAAATAATACTTTCAAGGAACAGCCCAGAAGGTTCTCTTCTCCCATCTCCCAACGCCCTGCCCCCTATCTTGCCGGAAAGCTCACCTGGTTCGTCTCTATGTGCTCCTTTGTCTCTGAATTCCCAAGTGACGGTTTGTGCTGGCCTGTGAGACCCTAAGCCACCACACCAGGGGGTGGCCCTGGACTCGGTGCGGGGTACACGAGCAGCTGGCCAACCTTGGCTGGCAGGAAGGCCAGCCAGGGAGAATGAGCTACATGAGAAATGTAATTTCTTGGAGGAGCATGGGGGAGGGGGGGCGGCGGGCAGGAAGTTCCTGAAGGCTTTGGGCAGGACGGGACGTAGCATTTCAGTGGGTGTCAGATGCTGAGTTGGATTTCCCCAGAAGAAAATTATGTAAAGAAAGACAAAGACTCAGTAGGTATAGGAGTGGAATTGTGTCCCCTTTAAAAAAGATACATTAGGGATGCCTGGGTGGCTAAGTTGGTTAAGCATCCGACTTCAACTCAGGGCTTGTGGGTTTGAGCCCCACGTCGGACTCTGTGCTGACCTCTCGGAGCCTGGAGCTGCTTCAGATTCTGTGTCTCCCTCTCTCTCTGCCCCTCCCCTGCTCATCCTCTCTCTCTCTCTCTCTCAAAAAAAAAAATACTTAAAAAATTTTTTAAATAAATAAATAAATAAGATATGTTGAAGCCCTAACCCCCGGAACCTTAGAATGGGACTGTATTTGGAAATAGGGTTGTTGCAGATGCAAGATGAGGCTAGACTGGAGCAGGGATGGTCCTTATGCCAGATGACTGGTATCCTTAAAAGAAGATCGTGTGAGGACAGAGACACCCAGGGAGGACACCAGGTGACAGCCATCAGGGTTGGAGAGATGTAGCTCCAGGCCACGGAACACCAGCGACAGCCCCCGAAGCTAGGAAGAGGCCGCAAAGGACACCCCGCCTTGGGTGTCAGAGGGAGCATGGCCTGCCCACACGTTGACTTTGGACTTCTAGACTCCAGACCAGAGACAGTAAAACTGCTTGTTTTAGAGCCAAAAGAGAAGGAAACAGAATAGGACCCCAGAGCCGTGAGTTTCTGGAGCGAGCAGGGTCTCCGAGCAGTTATAGGAAAACTTCCGTGTGTGTTGGAGCACATGGCTATTCCAACCATAAATTTCCTGAAGTTGTCTAAACGTGACTCAAGTATTTCTGATGAAAATCTAGCCCCCAGAGTGAGGTGTGCTGTGAACGTCAAACATGCACCAGACTCCAAAGACTTACTATGAAAAGAATATAAACTATCTCACCAATAATTTCTCTACCGGTTACATGTTGAGGTGACATTTTGTATGTATTGAGTGAAACAAAACCTATCGTGAAAGTCGATGCTCTCACCTATTTTTGTTGTCATTTCTACTTTTTAAGAAATGCGGCCACTTAGAAAAACTTCCAAGCGCGTATGTGGCTCACGGTGTGTTTCTCTTGGGCAGTTCTGTAGGGAGCTAAATGTGAAAGGCAAAACTAAGCTTCTAGAAGACAATTCATGACTGCAGGTCAGGCAAGGATCTCTTGAACAAAACCCAGAAGGCACTAACCACAGAGGATGACATGACAATTTGACGACAATACAATTAATGAAGAGCTCTTCACCCGTGTGGCGGGACAAGCCACGTAGTGGGGAGCGTGTGCCACGGCTGACAGACGCCCTTCGTCCAGAGAGAGTGAAGGAGGCCGGGAAGCAGAAGACAGCCCAAGAGAAAACAGCGGGAGAGGCAGGGACAGGCGTTTCGAGGGAGTAACCTAAATGAGTACGTGCGGAGGAGACAGGGAAGCCAAGTGGCACGCGTCTAGCCCATCTTTTGATGGGTTTTTACGCCAAGTGTGTGACAAAGCCAACCTAACACGTTTGAGAGGCAGTAGGAACGGGGCCAGAGTCTCCCGTCCATTCAGCCCCCGGATGGAAACCCCTGCTCTGTCCCCAAGGCCGGGGCCGGCGAGCACGTGGAGGAACGAAACCCGCACATCCACGGGCGCCTTCCCCATGTTGTCGTACCAACACCGCGAGTCCGCACAGAACGTGGTGTGGATCCAGCCGTGTGGTGTTCCGAACCGTGCAAAGCGGAGCGGAGTGTTCTCCAGGGACGCGGGTGTGCGGCAAAGCTCCAGAGAAAAGCTCGCCTGTCACAAACTGAAAATGCGGTTCCCGCGGACTCTGGAGTCGTGGGAACGGCCGCTCCTCAGCTCAGGGGTCCGTGCACAGGCCGTGATTGTTTTGAAAACATACGGGAGGCATCAGGTGACCATTTTTGTATGGGCACTTAGAGAGTGAGTCGAAGTTTGCTTAATCACAGAATTCCAGTAAAGTTTTAAATTTTTTTTTTTCAACATTTATTTATTTTTCGGACAGAGAGAGACAGAGCATGAACGGGGGAGGGGCAGAGAGAGAGGGAGACACAGAATCGGAAACAGGCTCCAGGCTCTGAGCCATCAGCCCAGAGCCCGACGCGGGGCTCGAACTCACGGACCGCGAGATCGTGACCTGGCTGAAGTCGGACGCTCAACCGACTGCGCCACCCAGGCGCCCCTCCAGTAAAGTTTTGAGAAAGTCAATGGGACATAAGAGTGTAGACGGAAGGTACGTTTTGGACCAGTGTGGCCGTGCGGCACTGGGAGAAGCGGGTGGCACTGAGGACTCTCAGGACTCGGGGGCGGGGAGCCTTGGAGGCTGGGGGCTGTCTTTGGGGAAACGGAAAAGCCAAGTGGACGCTGGGACGGCTGTGGTCCCAGGAGGGAGGCTGGAGGGGTCCAGACTCTGGAAGTAGAAGCAGAAGACGTGCAGAAGAGGGAGGCTTCGA